CCAATGTTACTGCAAATTCCGTATAATGCAATTCGTATAATTCTTGCTGGCGTAGGTTTTTACACGGTATTTTAACTTTAACAAGGTGGTTAACAGGAGGCAACGATAGTTAGCAAGGTAACGCTGACACCAACTGTCACTGGAACAAGCTAAAACGACCTGACTGACGTTACGGACGCACATCAGAAGTTAATGCTGGATGAGTCTAAGTTATTTGCAGTCAGCTAGTGAGTATGATGAGCGTACTAATGCTGACATCCTTTCTCACGAAGTCAGCAATGCACTGATAACCCTCTCCCATGAAGTCAGCATTGCACTGACATCCTCTCCCATAAAGTCAGCATTGCACTGACATCCTCTCCTATGAAGTCAGCATTGCACTGACATCCTCTCCCATAAAGTCAGCATTGCACTGACATCCTCTCCCATAAAGTCAGCATTGCACTGACATCCTCTCCCATAAAGTCAGCATTGCACTGACATCCTCTCCCATAAAGCCAGCATTGCACTGACATCCTCTCCCATAAAGCCAGCATTGCACTGACATCCTCTCCCATAAAGCCAGCATTGCACTGACATCCTCTCCCATAAAGTCAGCATTGCACTGACATCCTCTCCCATGAAGTCAGCATTGCACTGACATCCTCTCCCATAAAGCCAGCATTGCACTGACATCCTCTCCCATGAAGTCAGCATGACACTGGAGGGGCCAGGAGCTGAGGCTCGACCCCCAGCAACCACATACAGTCAAGTACATGTTTCAAACCTATTTTTTTTTACTCAATTGTTTGGGAAGCACTAAACCCGCAGGGAATCACAGTACCCCTGGGGGAGGATGGAAATTTAATCAGGTTTGAGTCGAGGAAGAGTAGCTCCACTTCCTCGGATCAAGAGTTCTTCACCATTCCGCACATTGTTTTACATTATAATTGTATTATAATCATTATAAGTGAATTCATCATTAATAATGATAATTATCATTTAATTATTGTTTTTACTATTATTATTATTATTATTATTATTATTATTATTATTATTATTATTATTATTATTATCGGCGTTTATCCTAATCATTTTCTATTTTTTCATAATCGTTGTTGTTACTATTAAAGTCAGTGTATATACACTGGGAGGTGTGTGTGTATATACACTGAGAGGTGTGTGTGTGTATATACACTGAGAGGTGTATGTGTATATACACTGAGAGGTGTATGTGTATATACACCCGTCCCAGCGTCATACTGGGACGGGCGTAATGGCGTAATGTGAGGTGATATCTCAGCCTTATAAGGCCTCTAGCTATTCTATTATTTTCACAGGTCCTTGATAATGTGAGAAATCACGAAAGCGCTTGGAAGTTCACTATTTTTCTTTTCATAGGGGTTGTTTTGCATGTCGTGACATCATCTGTTACTGTTTACCCTGAGAGGTCTATGTTTCTCAGTGTATATACACCAAGAGGTGTACATTTCTCAGAATATATGTACACAGATATCTCTCTCAGTGTATGTACACTTAGGTGTATGTCTCTCGATTTATATACACTGTGCTATCTCAGTGTATATACACAGGGATACATCTCTCTCTCAGTGTATATATATATTGAGGCGTATGTTTCTCAGTGATATATATATCTCTCAGTGTATATACACTGAGGTATATATCTCTCAGTGTATATACACTGAGGTGTACATTTCTCAGTGTATATACACTGAGAGTTTACATTAATCTATATTTTAGGCATCAAAGTATTCTTGACATATGGTGAACAGGTGACACACAGCCTTAATGACCCTCGTGTAGTAGATAGGCTTCCATCCCCCAATAACCGACCCATGACATCAACTCTAAATGGGAAAAATGGGCGAGGGAGGACAATTAAAACCACAAAAACCCTTAATAGATTTTTTAAAAATTTATTATACACCTATAGTATGGTAGGTTTGAAAATTCAATTTCTGTACAAGAGAGGGAACACATTTATCTGTTTCTTAGTCTAGACATTTAAAAGTAAGTGTGGAACTATCACACTTACGACAGCGATGCGACCGTCTTAACGTACTGGGTGATGATGTCGCGCACGCGAGCACGCGCGCGCGTTCATGCGCCCCGCGTGGCGGAAAGTGCGCCGGGCGTCGGTCTGCTCAGGACCTGGTACTTGTCGGTGGTTCCTTATCAGTGGCGAGGGTTGGGGCTGCGGGGAGGTTAGTTGTGGATGTTCGGGGGTCGGTCACGAATTATTGGGGGTCAGTCACGAATTATTGGGGGTCGGTCACGAATTATTGGGGGTCGGTCACGAATTGAAGGAGGTCAGTCTCGAATATTTGGGGGCAGTCGCGAATGCTAAGGGATCAGTCGCGAATATTGGGAGTTTATTCGGATACTGGTTTCAATCCCAAATACTGGTGTCAGTCCCAGATACTGGTGTCAGTCCCAAATACTGGTGTCAGTCCCAAATACTGGGGTCAGTCCCAAACACTGGGGTCAGCCACAATTATTCTACCTACAGAAGGGGGTCCTAAGGTGTTAAAAGGAGTCTAGCTGACCTTTTTTTAAAGACCATAACAAGACAAAGATCACGACAGCCAAGAAGATGACGGGATGGGTATTGAGAACTTTCAAAACAAGGGAAATAATGCCGATGGTGACACTCTTCAAATCACTAGTGCTCCCTCACTTAGAATACTGCTCAGTGTTGACGGTCCCGTTCAAAGCAAGAGAAATATCGAGCTGGAACAAATGCAGAGATCGTTTACGGCTCAACCAGACTGTAATGGATATATGGGGCAGTGGGCCTCCAGCAGCAACAGCCTGGTTGACCAGGCAAGCACCAGACGAGCCTGGCCCATGGCCGGGCTCCGAGAGTAGTGAAACTCTCGAAACTCTTCCAAGGCATATCAAAGGTATAAAGGTAAGGGGGGCTACGACTGGTGACCCACAAGGAACTGGGGATTACGAAAACGCCAGGGGTCATAATTGATCTAAGTCTCTTGAGCCAAGGAATCTGAGCGACCGCTGCCCCTTCTTCAGATCAAACATGATTCCTCGGATGCTGTATAACCTCCTGTGACAACTTTTGTGAGTGGATTGCACAAATATGTAGGTAGAAGTGGTTGGATTTGAGAGGAACCTGCCTAGCATGGGCCAGTAGGCCTTCTGCAGTGATCCTCCATCTTTACGTTCTTGTGAATGACAGGAAAAACGTCTTGAAGGAATGAAATAAAATCCTAAACGGAAGTAATAAAGAAAAAAATAAAACACTCTCCTAGATATGGAATAAATTCTTTAATAAATGGGATTAAATGGAAAACTAAAGTGTACTGAACACTTTATGAAATTAATTGATCTGTATACTTCGATCCCCTTCTGGGATCCTCTTCAACAGATGAGGATCCCAGAAGGGGATCGAAATATACAGATCAATTAATTGTCTGTGTTTCTGTCTCCATGTTGGTTGTTAATGATCACTGACAAGTGGTCATTACACTCTAGTTAAATATTTAGCCCCCCATTAAGATTGTATTCCATATCTACGAGTGTATTTGATCTTTTTCTGTTAATCCCCTTTAGGATTTTATTGGATAAAGTTTACTGCGGGGGGCGTTGACCCCCGTAACCCTTTCCAGGTATTTCCAGGTATACTCATTTAACTCACTTCTGGCAGATGAAGTGTGCCAGCTGAATGTGGCACCGCGCGGACCGTGAGGAGTACCGAGCAGACCGAAGCCCAGACCACTTTCCTTAGTATACAAATTCCTGAATAAGCCTTGATTCTTGCGGTCTAGCGGAGACCATTTAGACCATTTGGTCACTTGGACCACTGCACATCCGCACACCCATATATAATTTGAGTATTTTGTAAATGATATGTATAATCACCACTATATACAAGTACGATAGAAAAGTTTAGTATTGGAACCGTTTATTGTCTTTCGAAAAGTCTTTATTTTGTAATCACTCAGAAAAAAAACATCGTTGAAAAGCAGAGAAGCTGAGGATTGTGTTTGGAAGGTCAATCTGTCAATAAAACTCTGTTAAAACACACACATAAAAAAACAAAACATGGTCGTTGTGGTTAAAACGAGGCTGATTTTTATTTTACGAGTCTTCATTGGCACTTCTGATTTTCAGAACAAAACGTAGTACTTAAATAACCCGCACGTAGGAGACACTTATGACGACATTTCGGCCCGACTTCGACCATTTACAAAGTCACACTGACACGAAAGAGTGAGGGAGTCAGTATATATATAGGCGAGGTACTGGAAGCACCAGCCTTACCACTACCACTATTTCTTGTTCTTCCTCTCTTGGTTCCGTCCCTGTCCCCCCTCGCCTATATATACTGGCTCCCTCACTCTAATGTGTTAGTGTGACTTTGTAAATGGTACAAGTAGGACCGAAACGCTGTCGAAAGTTCCACTCTTCCATGAGCGGCTTGTGTATTGTTCCAGTCATGGTACTGTACCTTCCTGTCCTTTCAGACGTAGTAAGACGTACATGGTCGGAGATCGACAACCAGACGTAGGCCTGAATAATCATCCATGTTTACGTTAAACAAAGATAAGCGATTTGTTAACAATATTTAAGTAATTAAAAATTGAATAATCGTTAACGTCCATAAAAAAAAATATAATCATTAAATAACTTAACAGAGGTGTTCGATTACAGCGACTCAAAATGTACATATATATACAAACATAGTTTACAAGGCTGGTTAGTTACAGTTGAGGCCTACACAGGCTGCAGTCATATAATTAGATTGTGTAAGGTAATGGTGTTTCACTTTCTCGTTTGCACGTTTCGCCCGGCACAACAAACAAAAGAAACAAGTTTGCAATCCTCACTGAAGAGTTGGGGTCCCCACAACGTTGCAGCTCAAGACTTCAACGTCAAGTCTTTCGTGGTAAGGTGAGATTTCGACAGGTGAAATTAACATTTAATGTGGTGTGCCCATGTTGGTCTGGCAGCGTTGTAGCGACCCAGGGACCTGACTGGGACTATCCTAGTTCCCCCTCTAGTGTCTTTTTTCCACGTTTTTTCTGTTTCTCTCTGCTATGGCAATTTCATCAGTGCTGTTTTTTTTTTAAAGCTGATTATTTTTTTTTAGAGAATAAATATCTATATACCGAATTAGTGTTGTGGGATATTTCCAGTGGTTAATAACAGTTCCCAGCTTGAGAGAGACGGCTTGAGCTTGCTCCGAAGCCGAAGCCAACCCTAGGCTTGGCTTTGGCTTTGGCTTTGGCACTGCCGTGCTCACCACAAATCACGAACTTTCTCAAGCAACTTCGGAAAGCAAATTTTCCACCTGGTGTTCAACGCTTATTAAAATTAATCTGTAGGCCTCTTGATGAACGATGCGTTGTGGAGACTCGACAACCCACAACCAGTCTTCATCAGAAGAATATAAAAAAATGGGGATGGGGGGATTTTGAGTTATAGATCCTGCAAAAATCCACATATGAAAACAGTTCCTTCCCAAAATATGCTAATCCTAGCATCCTCATCCTTTAAATCGGTAGCTGTTCCATCCCGATAACATCCTCCTTAATCGAATAATCTCAAGTTTACGATTAAATTGTGACAGATTAACTTAGCTTAATTTAACTCAGCTTAACGTTACCCATGAGAGGAGGATGTTATTTAGCCGTAACAGCTATCGAACAAACCTGACAATGAGTCTTGGGTGAATAAATGTGAATGAGAAAGATAAAAGAAAAATCGCTCGATTGCCACAGACATAGTTTCGAGTTTTTTATAGCTCACACAAGGGATAAATGAGAGGGATTCAAAGTTTACTGAGAATGCAAGATTACCAATTATGTAAAAATTTAGAAAATATCAAATGTTGACATTGTACAATATTTCGGATAGAGAGAAGTGCTGTCCGTGCTCCTCAGCCTCGGCGAAGACACTGTGGAAAAGACAGGTTGTACAACGAACTTGAATGAGGCAACGCCTTGACTTGGTTTGACAAAGCTCTACACAGAGCAAAACGATGTCCCGATAAAAGCTCGTTCTGCAGCCTGTGTCTTTTCTTTACCTAATTTTTCGGTAACACGCCATTGAGATTCAACTTCGGATTGACCAGTCATCCTCTTCCTCCATTCTCTTCGGAGAGACCTCGCTATCCACTTTCTTCATCCACTTCATAGCCTCGTAATCTGACCAACATTATTTTTTTATTAGTTTCAACAGGTTCGTGGTTTCCTACACTTCACTTTATCACCATCATTCACGTCCGTGATATCCACTGTTGATCCTCCTCACCACTACCCTCCCACACCACCTGATGTGGATAATAGGACACCCTGGCATGCCCAGTGTTCGACAACTATCACTGAATGAATGTTTTCTGTTGTTGCTAGTCACTAACTGGTGAAAATAATGAATATAATGTGAATCTCTGGCACTCCTGGTATGATGAGTCCCTGGCACTCCTGGTATGATGACGTTCTGGCACTCCTGGTATGACGCTGTTGGTTTCTTTTCACTGTCAACCAATGATCTGCTGTGCTTTCGTTTTGCTGAGAGTGAGAAGCACTGCACAATTCAGACCACAGAGATCTTGCATCTCAGCATAATGCTGCTTTCGATAGACTGACCATCTAACTTCTGCTCTTCTTCAGACCAAAGAACTACTTGTGTGTGTGTGAGTGTGTGTGTGTGTGTGCAGCAGACGCCACCCGTAAATTTATCAGACGTGTTATGTAACTTTCCTATACGACGTCACAAGATTTCTTTAGAAGAGACTCGTAGTAAGACTCACAGGCTGACTCAGGCCGTGCCTCGGAAATGTTCGATCTTCGATAGAGAGCCACGTTCAGCTCAAGGAAGGCTCTTGTGGAGTTGCAATCAGGTAACAGGCGTAGTGCTGGGCCCCGTGGGGCGGTGCAGGGTGGGGCTCACTATCACTTAGCTGGGGAGTGGACGAGGGAGTGACCGTAGGGCTGGGCCCCGCAGGGAGGTAGGGCAAAGTGACCCATGGAGGAGAAGGCAGAGGACATGAACCCGCCCATTCCTGCAAGAAAGAGAGAGAGAGGACGAATTAGTACTGACGTCGTAACGATCAATAATAGTCATCCTCTAAGGCAAAACACGAACTACCAGCTTATATATACTGTGGACATTATTATTATCTAATGAGGAACAAACAGTCTCACATGGAGGAAAATTAAACCGAAGAAGAGGCTTGCATATTTCGGCCTCCAACTGAGGACCTCTTCAGTCTCTGAAAGACAAGTTATAAGTTGAAATACACAGAAGTTTTCTCTTCTATTTTAGTGTCTCGATGTGGGACTGCTTGTTCCACTGACCAGTGTTCATTACACATCCGTGTTTGCAAGGCCGGATTAAGGCATGGGTTTTAGGGGTTGCAGCCCAGGGTCCTCCGCCAGCAGGAGGCCCTCCAGTGATTAAGTGAAAAGTATTCACAGTTACTGCAGTAAGTTTATAATTATAGTATGTTATTACATCACGTATTTGATGGACTGTTGTGATTAATTTTTGTTTCCTTTTCAAAATATCACTGGTGGCCAACAAAATCTTAATCCGGCTCTGCGTATTTAGCTTATATACGTATTTCAGTGAGACTCAGGAACCAATATAGTAAAGGCCACATGAGCTACTGTTACTGTTCAGTTCACAAATGGTGCTAATGAGATGAAGTTTGCAACGTTGACTTGATTGTAGTTACTGCAGCAGTGGCAGCAGCAGCAGCAGCAGCAGCAGCAGCAGCAGCAGCAGCAGCAGCAGCAGCAGCAGCAGAACAATACAAGGCAGGTGGGTGGTGCATGCATATGTCACCATTATTAACATTATAATTCATGGGAGATTGCTAAGGCCGTAGAGGCTAATACAACGCCTAGAAGACTACATGCAGTTGTTGACACTAACACTAAGAGAGTAGCTGCTGCCAGGGAGCTACGCTGTTGTTGACGGTGGTGATGGGAGTGAGGGGAGGTGTGGCCGGCAGACTGGGGATCACTGGAGCGAAGGCGCTCCTCTGTTTGGTATTCATATTGGCCGTGAACTGGGAGAAGAGAGCTGCGGAGGAGGTGGAGGAGGAGGAAACTGGGCAGGAGGTAGCCGCGATGCCCCAGGCTCCGTGGTGGTGGTGGTGGTGATGGTGGTGGTGGTGTCCCCCAGGGCCGCCTGCTGGTGCCGCTGCTGCTGTACCAGCAGTAGTGGGATGGAGGGAGGAACACCATCAGTCACTGTGATCCATCAGACCTTCCCCTCACCCCCAACACTCACTATCACTGATCTAACACTCACTATCACTGATCTAACATTCACTATCATTGATCTAACACGCAGCATCACCGTTCTTGCAAGCAGTATCTCTAACACCAATTATCACTGATCCAATACACATTATCACTGACCTAAGACACACTATCACTACCACCGATCTAATACCCATCACTTCTTCACCATCCGTGGTCCCACAAAAGTGGTGACTTCTACATCCATTCGCTACATTGGCAACTGTTAGTAGAGTGTAAACAGGCGAGTGTTTCCACCACTTAAGAATCAGATCCAAGAAATCACTATTGGGACAAATTATCTTCATTTTCAGATCACATTGTTAGATAATGCAGATATTTTCATATTCAGCTTATAGCTGGTGGAACACATATAAGAACATAAGAAAGGAGAAACACTGCGGCAGGCCTACTGGCCCATCATACTGGACAAGTCCTTGTGGTATACTGTGTGGTATATTGTGAGTGTTATCTGTCTTGAAGAGACTTGGACCATTGACAAAGTCACACTAACCAGAAGTAGAGCAGGACGGCTATATATAGGCAGGAAGAGGTGGTGGTAGTAGTAGTAGTAGTAGTAGTACAAGAATGGGATATAATACCGGCAAGATGAAATTAAGACACATGCACAACACCCGGGCATCCCTATCGTAGACATTTCGCCATCCAGCCAGCCACTGAATGGCGAAACGTCCACAACAAAGACAACCAGCCGTCCTGCTCCACTTCTGGTTAGTGTGACTTTGTCAATGGTCCAAGTCGGACCGAAACGTCGTCGTAAGCTTCTCTCTTTTAAGTGCGGGTTATTTGTGTATACTTACAAAAATAAAAGAACAGTAGAAGGTTTATAAGGCTGAGATATCACCTGACCTACGATACTTCACCCGACCCAGTATGATGCTGGGGGAAGTGTCAGCCTTTTAATGATTACAGACACACAATGGACTACCCAACAAGTGCTCATACCACCTTCACCAGATTGTGGATATTACAGTCACTAACATCACCAGTCCTATTACGTACCAGTAGTTTATTCTGATTTAACAACCTTTCTGTTTTAACTGTTCAGAGATCGAGTCTCGTACCCCCATTATTTGGTTACCGTACCCCCAAGGGGCATGGATACTCCTCGGTTATGTGTATGTGTGTGTATGTAGTTGCAGGGATCAAGTTACAGCTCCTGGCACGGGTGTGGGGGGGGGGTGAGCCAAGGATGCCGTTTATATTGTTAAGTGAATATTATTTATGAACAGCTGATTATATTTCACTATTTCCAGAGTTTTAACTGGTTATTATTTAGTCAGTTTCTTACGAGGGTGAAAAAAAATAAATAAATCAGGGGTACCAACAATAAGAATAAAACTCAGGGTACCACCAATAAAAATAAAAATCAGGGGTACCAACAATAAGAATAAAAATCAGGGGTACCAACAATAAGAATAAAACTCAGGGTACCGCCAATAAAAATAAAAATCAGGGGTACCAACAATAAGAATAAAAATCATTGATACCAACAATAAGAATAAAAATCAGGGGTACCAACAATAAAAATAAAAATCAGGGGTACCAGCAATAAAAATAAAAATCAGAGGTTCCAACAATAAAAAAATAAATCAGGGGTGCCAGCAATAAGAATAAAAATCAGGGGTACCAACAATAAAAATGAAAATCAGGGGTACCAACAATAAAAATAAAAATCAGGGGTACCAACAATAAAAATAAAAATCAAGGGTACCAACAATAAAAACAAAATCAGGGGTACCAACAATTAAAAAAATCAGCGGTACCAACAATAGAAATCTAAATAAGGGATACTTACAATAGAAATATAAATAAGGGATACCAACAATAAAAATCCAAATCAGGAGTACCATCAATGGAAACTTAAATCAAGGGTACCAACAATGGAAACTTAGATCATGGGTACCAACAATGGAAACTTAGATCATGGGTACCAACAATGGAAACTTAAATCAAGGGTACCAACAATGGAAACTTAAATCATGGGTACCAACAATGGAAACTTAAATCATGGGTACCAACAATGGAAATTTAAATCAAGGGTACCAACAATGGAAACTTAAATCATGGGTACCAACAATGGAAACTTAGATCATGGGTACCAACAATGGAAACTTAAATCATGGGTACTAGCAATAAGAAGTCTATATCAAGGGTACCAACAATGGAAGTCTAAATCAGGGGTGCCAACACTGGAAATCTAAATCATGGGTACCAACAATTGAAGTCTAAATCAGGGATACCAACAAAGAATGATTTAAAATATTAAAAGCATAATGGATAGAATATACCGTTTATTGCTGTTTGCTACTGTTTATTACCGTTTGCTACTGTTTATTACTGTTTGCTACTGTTTATTTGTTTTTTACTGTTTATTACTGTTTGCTACTGTTTACTACTGTTTATTTCTGTTTTTTACTGTTTATTACTGTTTGCTATTTATTACTGTTTGCAACTATTACCGTGTTCCATTGTTTATTACTATTTATTGCCTGTTATTGGTCATTACTGTTTATGTACTGTTTAAATCAAAAGTTCCGTTAATATGTGTAAACAGAAGTTAATAACATTGTTAATGGTTTGAAAGATGTTAAGAGAAGGAAGAGAGAAGGATAGGGAGATGATAAGGAGACAAGGATATGAAGAAGATAGGGAGACAAGGATAGGGAGAAGATAGGGAGAAAAAGGGAGATGTTTTAGTAAAATTGGATATATCATCAGTGTGCTGCTACCTTATTCTAAATTATTAAAGTTTTAAGAGAGAGAGAGAGAGAGAGAGAGAGAAGAGAGAGAGCTAGCTCAACTTACTGGAAGTGCTGTTGAAGAGGTTGGGTGAGGCGCTCATGTTAGCCAGACTCGCAGGAGAAGCGTAGCCGGAGGTGTTGATGGAGGCACCGTAGGAGGAGGAGGAGGAGGAGGAGCCCGTGGAGGAGGAGTGGGGAGTGGAGGCGTTGGAGGGGAAGGCGGCGCCCCTGGGCGAGGATATGCCCACGCCGGGGCCCTGGGCACGCGTGTAGTCCTCTAGAAGAAAAAACCTACAAGTAAGAACAACCAGTACGTCAGTTATATGCTCGGCGAGGGTCTGGCAACACTGTTATTAATATTACTGAGGTCTGGCAACACTGTTATTAATATTACTGAGGTCTGGCAACACTGTTATTAATATTACTGAGGTCTGGCAACACTGTTATTAATATTACTGAGGTCTGGCAACACTGTTATTAATATTACTGAGGTCTGGCAACACTGTTATTAATATTACTGAGGTCTGGCAACACTGTTATTAATATTACTGAGGTCTGGCAACACTTATTAATATTACTGAGGTCTGGCAACACTGTTATTAATATTACTGAGGTCTGGCAACACTGTTATTAATATTACTAGGTCTGGCAACACTTATTAATATTACTGAGGTCTGGCAACACTGTTATTAATATTACTGATGTCTGGCAACACTGTTATTAATATTACTGAGGTCTGGCAACACTGTTATTAATATTACCGAGGTCTGGCAACACTGTTATTAATATTACTGAGGTCTGGCAACACTGTTATTAACATTAATGAGGTCTGGCAACACTGTTATTAATATTACTGAGGTCTGGCAACACTGTTATTAATATTACCGAGGTCTGGCAGCACTGTTATTAATATTACTGAGGTCTGGCAACACTGTTATTAATATTACTGAGGTCTGGCAACACTGTTATTAATATTATTGAGGTCTGGCAACACTGTTATTAATATTACTGAGGTCTGGCAACACTGTTATTAATATTACTGAGGTCTGGCAACACTGTTATTAATATTACTGAGGTCTGGCAACACTTATTAATATTACTGAGGACTTGGCAGCACTGTTATTAATATTACTGAGGACTTGGCAACATTGTTATTGACATTGCTGAGGACTTGGCAATACTGTTAATAATATTATTTAGGACTTGGCACCACTGTATTAATATAACTGGAGATTTGACATCATAATTATTATACTTGAGGACTTGGCAACACTGTTAATGTTACTGATGGCTTGGCAATACTATATCAATATAACTAAGGACTTGGCAACACTTCATTAATACAACCGAGGACTTGGCAAAACTGTTATTATAAAACTGAAGACTTAGCAACACTGCATTGATATAACTGAGTATTTGGCAATAATGCATTGATGTAACTGAGGATTTGGCAACACTGTTATAAATATTACTGAGGATTTGGTACCACTGTTGTTAATATTACTGAGGACTTTTCAGCACTGTATTAATATTATTCTTTGACTTGGCAACACTGTGTTTACATTACCCCTTGACTTAACAACACTGTATTAATATAACTGATGACTTGACAACACTGTATTAATATAACTGATGACTTGGCAACACTGTATTAATATCACTGATGACTTGGCAACACTGTATTAATATCACTGATGACTTGGCAACACTGTATATGATAAATTTAAGCTTGGCAACACTACATTAACATGATAACTTAGAATATGAATGCAAATTTGAATCTCAAAATGTTTTAGACAATTTAAAATGAAAATCAAAGGTGTTAATTTAAATCTTGAAGAGACAATAATTACCTTCGCCCCACTGCGTGTTGGCTGTGTCTTGGACACTGACGGCCAGCTGGCCTGTGTAGGTGTTAAATCCGGTCATGGCCGACGTCTGGTTCATGGCTGGCGACCTGGGGGCCGGCAGGGCCAGCTGGTTATTCCTGGGCATGGAGTAGAGAGCCTCGGCCAGGTCGGCTGCCCTCTTCAGAATGATCTCCTTCGGCAGCTTCTCCGGGTCACCTGGATGCCGCGGGATGAGCTTCTGGAGTCGCTGGAACCCGTAGTCGATGGTGGGTTCCGTCAGTGCTGGAAACGATCAAGGGAGGAGTGGTCAAGTCTTTGACACGTTTTGACGTATCTATCGATGTTTTGAACTCACTGTCGACGTTGTTAAACGTGTGAAAAAGGCGCAAAACAGGTGGTAAATTAAAAGTACTCCAACAGTGGCAAGAAAATGTTCTTTTTTTACTTCGAGTACCTTGAAGTGTCGAGTACCTTGAAGCTTCGAGTACCTTGAAGCTTCGAGTACCTTGAAGCTTCGAGTACCTTGAAGCTTCGAGTACCTTGAAGCTTCAAGGTGCTCAGTACCTTGAAGCCTCAAGGTGGTCAGTCCCTCAGGTTGAAGGACTGATCACCTCAAATACTTTTTCTCCAAGGTTGAAGGACTGATTACATCATCATTATTTCACTACCACTGCTCCCTTTGTATTTGACTGAAGAAGTCTACTGTGTAGCCTAAACGTTTCCTCAATAAAGATACCCAACTGTTGTACATGTGTCTTATTCTTCAACTCGTCAGTATTTTATACCATATACAACAAAGAGAATATCAGTGACTTACAAACATAGACAAATCTCCCGGGAGCTCCTTTACAGAATTGCTTTGACTTGTACGAGAGAGTTACTTCAACCACACCAGGGATGTGACGAGGAGGTGTCTGAACTCTGATGGCATGTGACGTGACCAACTGGAAAACAGAGATATAATGTGTATAAGAACAGACCCACATCTTCAGCTAGAGGGACATTATAATTTGTAAAACAGAAGATGATTTGCGAAGTAATTGAATCTTGACAGTTAGCTCAGGACACAATAATCAATTTACAGCTTGAGAAGGGGTAATTATTGGATATTTTTTTAGTTATATAACATCTCTTGTATTTCTCTCTCTCTCTCTCTCTCTCTCTCTCTCTCTCTCTCTCTCTCTCTCTCTCTCTCTCTCTCTCTCTCTCTCTCTCTCTCTCTCTCTCTCTCTCTCTCTCTCTTGTTTACACCCGCTTAGACGCCATCTTGGAGTCTGGGACCCGAGACGCTCATCTCCTGCTTACAGTCAACACTAATCATCCAAACACCACAAGCCAACAACAAACACCCGTCAAACACCTCCAGGGAGCAACAAACACCCGCCAAACACTTCCAGGGAGCAACAAACACCCGTCAAACACCTCCAGGGAGCAACAAACACCAGTCAAACACCTCCAGTTAACACAAAACTCCCGTCAAACACCTCAAGCGAACACATCAAACATCCCAAATGAACACCAAACACCACAGATGAACACCAAACACCTCCAACAAACACTAAACACTCTTTAAATAGTATCACATGATGACAAACACACTCAACCACCAACGAAGGTCTGACAATCACCAAACACTAACAACGAATGCCAAATACTAAAAACTAATAAAAACACCAACTAGCAATAAACAAACACCAACAACTCATTAAAACATCTGTGGACATTTTTCAACACCAAAAACTCTTAAATACTGCAAAAGAAAGCAACTAATATAAGAAAAATCTCTAAACACAGTAAAAAGTAAACATTTCAAATACAGCCCCCCCCCCAAAAAAAAAACACAAAATATCATCAAACACTGCCAAACACTACCAAACACGTCTCTTTTAGACATTTCCCAAGTATTCCAAAAAGACTATTCAAACACCATAAGAAAACACATCAAACATGCCCAAGCAGAAAAAAACACCACAAACATAACGCGTTCAAAACACCACCAAACACTCACAAGGACCACCAGCCATACAAGTCTCTTAAACAGAAAACTTACAAACAGCATCAAACACTTATAGGCATCACCAAACATTTCCAAACATAAAACAGTGACAACAGCGAACACTCTCAAATACCCAGAAACACTTCTAAATACACTCAAATATCCAAGCAAATCCAAACATCACATTTAAAAATGAACTCCAAAACACACACCAAAACATCTCCAGTCACTTCCAAACACTCCCTACACACTTCCAAACACTCTTCAATACATACAAACATTACTTATCACTCAGACACGTCCAAACTTATTCAAAACGCACAACAAACTACCATCGGTGACTTCCAAACACTATAAAAACACATCCAAACATTCTTCAAACACCAGCATTCACGCGCAACTCACCTCGCTCCAGACCAGCATAGTACCGAATACTATCTGAAGACCGTCGAAGAAGTTATCACCAATAATGATGACCGTAGCGCCTCCAGTTGTCCAACCCTCGGAGGGAGAGATGGCCTTGATACACGGAGTGGCTGGTAGTGGCGGATATAGACCTGGGCAGGAAGAGCACATGTGTTATTGTGTATCCTTCTCATGTGTTATACGAAGGTGGGAACACTAGCAGTGTGCTGCTACACTGTTCTGTATGATAGTTACATTGTGGGAACACCAGCAGTGTGTTGCTACACTGTTCTGTATGATAGTTACATTGTGGGAACACCAGCAGTGTGTTGCTACACTGTTCTGTATGATAGTTACATTGTGGGAACACCAGCAGTGTGTTGCTACACTGTTCTGTATGATAGTTACATTGTGGGAACACCAGCAGTGTGCTGCTACACTGTTCTGTATGATAGTTACATTGTGGGAACACCAGCAGTGTGTTGCTACACTGTTCTGTATGATAGTTACATTGTGGGAACACCAGCAGTGTGCTGCTACACTGTTCTGTATGATAGTTACATTGTGGGAACACCAGCAGTGTGTTGCTACACAGTTTAGTTATTTATTTATTTATTTATTAATTTGAACATGATACAGAGAAGTACAAAAGAATGCAGTTAAGTGCAGCATGCCAACGCCACTTGTATGCATAGCATTACTGGCAGGCTTAAAATTAACTTAAGATTAACTAAGCAATGACGTATTCAGTGGTAAAACATTATTGTAAACAGAGAACAATTAAGCACAAATGAGTATTACAAAAACAGGTCGTATGGTTGCATGCATTGCTGTACAATCAGTATTTATTTATTTATTTATTAATTTAATTTGAACATAATACAGAGAAGTACAAGGAATACAATTTTTAAAGTGTAACATGCCAAAGTCCCTTGTATGCAGAGCATTATGGGCAGGCTTAAAATTAACTTAAGATTAACTAAGCAATGATATATTCAGTGGTACAAAAATTATTGTTAAATAGATAACAATTTAGTACAAATGAGTATTACAAAGACAGGTCATATGGTCATTTACTGTGTTGTTGTGTAATCAGTACAATGGAGTATTCTGTTAGGTAATGAAGTTAAATAGTAACAAAGTTTGATTGGGTCACAGGTTGACATTTATGAGATACAATAATGAGATACATATATGAGATACAATTTGTGAGATACAATTATTCAGTATTTATTTAGTTGTGGGTGAGTAAGTGATTTTTGAGAAGATACTTGAATTTATAAACAGACAGTGTTTCTTTTATATTCACAGGTAATAAATTCCAGATTTTAGGGGCTTTTATGTGCATTGAGTTTTTGCATAGCGTGAGATGGACACGAGGAACATCAAAGAGTGATCTGTGCCTTGTGTTATGGTTATGTGTTCTGTTGAGGTTGGCAAGGAGATGTTTGAGGGGAGGGTTTATGTCAGAGTTAAGTGTTCTATGTATGTAGTAGGTACAATAATAAGTATGGATGTTTTGTATTGTGAGTAGGTTTAGAGTTTTGAATATTGGTGGAGTGTGCTGCCTGTAGTGGGAATTTGTTATCATTTTGACTGCAGCCTTTTGTTGAGTGATTAGTGGTCTGAGATGGTTTATTGTTGTTGAGCCGCATGCACAAATTCCATAGGTGAGATAGGGGTAAATAAGTGAGTGATATAGGGCCAGGAGGGCTGACTGTGGAACATAGTAGTACCGTATCTTCGATAGTATGGCAACGGTCTTGGAATTTTTTTGGGAAATTTGTTGTATATGTGTTTGAAATTTGAGTCTATTATCAAGGTGGATTCCTAGGAATTTTCCCTCTGTGAGTTTTGTGATAGGTGATCCATTTATCATTATGTTAAGAGACACATCTGCAGCTCTGTTACCAAACTGAATGTAGTAAGTTTTGTCAATGTTTAGTGTAAGTTTGTTGGTCCTCATCCAGGTTGATATTTTCTGTAATTCGGTATTTACAGTATTGGCTAGCATGACTGGGCTCGGGTGATAGTAGACGTATGTAGTGTCATCTGCAAATAGTGTGGGTTTGAGTAGTTGCGATGCATTTGGTAGGTCATTTATGTATATGAGAAAGAGAAGAGGGCCAAGGACACTTCCCTGTGGGACACCAACTGTAATTGGCTGTGCGGAAGAGTTTGCCCCATTTGTGTACACATATTGGCTTCTGTTGCTGAGGTAAGACTTTAGGTAGTTGAGGGAGTGCCCTCTTATACAATAGTGCGACGATTTTATGTGGAGCAAGTCGTGGTCAACTGTATCGAAAGCTTTACGTAAGTCAGTGAAGATCCCCAGTGGGACTTCTTTTTTCTCTATTGCTGTATAAATATGTTCTAGCATGTGGATAATAGCATAATTAGTATTTTTATTAGGCCTGAACCCAAATTGACAGGGGTTGAGTATGTTGTGGGAGATGAGGTAGGAATAGATACGCTTATGGATTAATTTTTCAAAGATTTTAGAGAGAGTGTGTAAGTTGGATATTAGCCTATAGTTATTCAAGTCTGTGTGGTCTCCTCCTTTATGGATCGGGGTGACCCTCGCTATTTCGAGAACTGTAGGAAAGGTAGAGGATTCAATGGATTTGTTAAAGAGTGTTGCAATGATTGGTGACAGCACTTGCAACACTATTTTTGTATATAAAGAGTGGTAAGGTATTTAAATCTCCTGTCTTGTTTTTTAGTGTGTTGATAATAAGAGAGACTTCTGTTGGGTTAGTCGGAGCTAGGAAAAGTGTGTTCGGGTAGTTGCCAGTGAGGTAGTCATTGGGTGGGGTATTTGAGCTTGGGATTTTATTGGCAAGGTTTTTTCCTATAGTGGAGAAGAAATCATTGAGTCTGTTTGCTGTTTCAGTTGGTGGGAGTTGGGGTTCATCTGGTTTTGTTAGTTCAATTTCGCTATTTCGTGTTTATCTTTTTTGTTCCTAGTATTTCTGATAGGGTTTTCCAGGTCTTTTTTTATGTCACCTCGTAAGTTGGATAATCTGTTCTCATAATACAATTCTTTAGCCCTTCTTGTCAGGCTGGTTAGGACTGACGAGTAACGTTTTGTTTGGTCTCTGGTTATGTGACCCATTCTGTACTGTTTTTCATATAGGTGCTTTGTATTTATGGATTTGAGGATACTGGGTGTTAGCCAGGGACTGTTCAGTCTCTTAGCTGTCATCTGTTTAGTTTTTTAGGGCAATGCTTGTTATAGAGGTATTGGGTCTTTTTTTAGAAAATTATTAATACATTCGTCAATATCTGTATAGATTTCTAGCTCAGTGTGCCAGTGTGTCACTGCTGTTGTGAAGTTATTGATAGCTGCCTCATTGTGAAGTCTGAAAGTGACTTTAGTAGTGTCTGGGGGTAATTTGCCAAGGTTTGTTATGAGGAAGGTAGGATAATGGTTTGTGGTATTATCTGCGATTATGCCTGATCTTAAGGGGGATATGGTGTTGGTCCAGATGTGGTCTAGTAGGGAAACACTAGTCTCTGTAATTCTTGTAGGTTTTGTTACTGTTGGTAGCAACATGCAGTTACTCATAGTGTTTGTGAATTCAGTAACGTGTGGGTCCTGGTCTTGCAGGAGATTTATATTGAAGTCACCTGAGAGTAGTAAGTGATATTTGTTCATGCGTGTATCAGTTATCATACTTCCTAGGTTGTCACTATAACGGCTAATGTTTGACTGAGGTACTCTGTAGATGTTCTGTATGATAGTTACATTGTGGGAACACCAGCAGTGTTGCTACACTGTTCTATATGATAGTTACATTGTGGGAACACCAGCAGTGTGTTGCTACACTGTTCTGTATGATAGTTACATTGTGGGAACACCAGCAGTGTTGCTACACTGTTCTATATGATAGTTACATTGTGGGAACACCAGCAGTGTGTTGCTACACTGTTCTGTATGATAGTTACATTGTGGGAACACCAGCAGTGTTGCTACACTGTTCTGTGTGATAGTTACATTGTGGGAACACCAGCAGTGCGTTGCTACACTGTTCTGTATGATAGTTACATTGTGGGAACACCAGCAGTGTTGCTACACTGTTCTGTGTGATAGTTACATTGTGGGAACACAATTTTTCTCTGTCATATTCTAAATGATCAACCAGCTGTGACCCGAAGACAAGACCAATCAATACCGAGGAACCTTCTACGATATGCTGAGAGAGAGAGAGAGAGAGAGAGAGAGAGAGAGAGTCTTAGCTACTAAAAAAAATTCATGGAGAAACTTGTAAAAGTCCAAATTCTCCCCTCCCCCTCCAAAAAAAAAGAAAAAGAAAAAAGAGAATAAGTTAAAGAAATAAAGAGAGAGATAGGAAGGCAGGCGAGAGAGATGGGAGACAGCAACGGACCAACAAGTACATAAACACTCTCCAAACTTATAAACTTAGAAGGAGGCGGCAGTCTTGTGTTTGTGGGCGTGGTGGCGCCCGCAAACCCCGCCCATTGTGTACATGAGAGGACAGAGAGAGAGAGAGAGAGAGAGAGAGAGAGAGAGAGAGGAGGAGGAGAGATGAAGAGAGAGAGAGAGAGAGAGAGGAGAGAGAGAGAGAGAGAGAGAGAGAGGAGAAAATTGAGAGAGAGGAGGGACGGAGAGTGGGAGATATGGAGGAAATGAGAGAAGAAGAGAGAAAGGGAGGGAGGTAGGGAGAAAAGGAGGGAGGTAGGGAGAATAGGAGAGAGGGAGACAAGAAGGAAGGGAGGGAGCACATGTCACAGTGTCACCAGCTAGAACGAGTGGTGAGTAAAGTTACCAAGAAGGAAGACAATCCAACAAAGAAAATGGAAAGATATACACAAAGAAAATGGGAAGCAGTACCACAACAGTTTAACTTAGACCTTATTTAAGAGACTATAACGTTCCTAATTGACAATGTAAAGGTGAGAGATTTATAACCTTAATGACCCTCGTGCAGTAGATGGGCTCCAAACCATTCGCACGCGTCAGTCTGCGTCAAGAATTGTGACATTTGCAGATGTAAAAATGACTTTGGAAGTCGTAGAAATGCAATTAAAAGTCTGAGCATATCTAAACGTAGACGGCCACATTACCAGAGCAACTTGCAGTGATAACAGACTGATGTTGTAGTAGCCAGGCTTAGACTTGGTTACAAGT